GGCAGAGAGAGAGAAGAGGACAACAAACGAGGGGCTGTGACAAACTGTATATATATATCGTCACAAACAGAACTGCCCGGTAAACCGTAGGCAGAGAGAGAGAAGAGGACAACAAACGAGGGGCTGTGACAAACTGTTTAATATAAGCCCTAAAACTTGTGAGCTGTCACCCCCCTGATGGGTTTGGTTGATGGGTTTCAGTTAAACTACTAAATGGTGGACATGATCACGCAGCGCTGACCGCTCAGCTAGGAACCGGGCCCGGCATCCCTCACAACAAGTCAGCCAGGACCCCCCTGGACTAGGTGCACAACCAGCCATGGTTTGGTCAGAGACTCAGGGCCTCGCTGCACTACTCTTGAAAGGTGCAAAACGAGAGTGAATCTTCCGCTACAACATGGAAATATACAGCGACATGATTTTTGTCTTTTGTGCATTTCACGAGTAGTGCAGCGAGGCCCTCAGAGGGCCCACCAATTTCATCACACCTGAAAACAGAGGTCACAGTGCCAACAAAGCCTTTGCAAGTATTTTTCATCCTTCCCAGGTAGTTAACATCGTAACGCATACATCCACATCTGTTTTTTTTTTTTGTTTTTTTTTTTTTTGGGGGGGGGGTTGTTTTGTTTGTTTCATTTGTTTGGTTTTCTTTGTTTTCTTGGTTTTCTTTTACCTTCTCTGTCTGTTCTTTTTGTTTTATATGTTTTCTTTGTTTTCTTTACTTTTGTGGGAAAACTACACGGGAGTCACAAAAAGAGTTGGAAAATACACGTCGGGCAAAAAACAGTTTCAAATTGCACTTCGGGTAAGCCCCTGATCAGGTGATAATTCTGGTATGTACGGTGCGCAGATCCCGCCCGTTGACCGTGCGTCGTAGATAGGGTTGCTGTGAAATTTAATTGCTGCTTGTCTCTTAACGGTGATCAGTATTGTGGCGGCTTGGGGTTTGATAGTACTGGGGGGGGGGGGGGGGGGGTCTCGGTAGCTGGATAGCTGTAGTTGGGGATAGGGTTGGCCGGAAGTGCCTTTCTTAGCCCCGAATGGTTACAGCATTTATGTGAGGGACGCCGGGCCCGTTTCCCGAACTTCCAAACTGTTTTTGTGATTGTACTGAAGAAACCCTTACTTTGTGTTTATTGATGATAATGTTTGTTTGTTTTGTTTTGTTTTGTTTTGTTTTGTTTTGTTTTGTTTTGTTTTGTTTGTTTTTGTTTTGTTTTGTTTGCTTTGTTTGTTTGCCTCTTGCACTCCAGATTCAGATATGGGTGGCTATGGCATTGGATGCCAACGGCCGATACAACGAATGTATCTTGTTGTATAAAACTTTGGAAGCAAAGCATCCAGCAAAGAACATACGGCGACAAGCAATGGACTTGAGGTTCATCCTGGAGGCTCCAAAATTGAAGATATCCAAAGATGAGATGGTATCCATACCAATTATTGATGCGGATCCTAACAGGTCAGTTGCAATGGACCTCCCTGCATTTGTTCGCGAACTACGTACTTGCTAGAGGTAAAAAAA